GGAGAAGCCACGTTTTAAGATAGTGCGTCTCTTGAGTTCTTGTGTCCTAACTGGATTCACCGCTTTCTTTGTGGCAACAGCAATCATCACGTTCTGCTTGAAAATGGACGAGGAACAAAACACCTGAAGACGAAAAGGGAACACACCAGGGATATAAGATATTAACTTAACTCCACATGTTGTGTGTGTACAAGAAAGGAGTTTGGTGTTGTGTTTGTGGTGGTGGGAATAAAAAAAACTTAACCAAGAGAACTCGTAACAGCTCCAGGAGAGCTAGCAGGAGGAACGTGGACAGCTTCAGACTTGGTACTCTCATGAACTGGATCATCAGCACCAGCACAAGTGAGCCTCCCCAAAACCACTCAAGAGAGAGAGAGGGGGGGGGGGGGGGGGGGTGGTATATACTGGCATGTGGTGCACTTTCAGTTGCAAAACAATGATACAGTATCTCGAATTAATTATGGATGCCAGATGTTTTGTGTCGTGTAATGCATCCGTGTGTGTATGTATGAACCTGCTGGTGCTATATACCATGGCTAAAGAGCACAGCTGCACATCAACAGAATTCATTGAAAAGAGCATAGATATGCACATCAGACATCATCGTTCAGTATTGGGGACACACAAGTCCATCGCTTTCGCCGCAGTCGGTTTCTCTCACCAATCGAGGTCAGAACCAAGTGGCCCAGTGCCATCCCCAGAAGCACCACCACACCCCATCCTTATCAAATCAACATAGTTTCACAATGCCCTTTCTGCAACCTAGACTGACTTGTGACGCATAGCTAACATAAAATATATACAAATGATAAATAGTAAGGTACTCACCACACGAAAACCACACCGGAACACTTAAAACAAGACCAAACTAAATCTCTTGCAGTCTAATCTCGTAAAGTTTCTACACCCAAAATAGGCTTTGAGTTGAATTAATGTTGTACCAGTGACAATCAGTGACACACTGACGGCGAGAGTGGGTAGGGAGGGAGGAAACACACAGGAGAAAGGGTTGGAAAGGGGTTGAGAAGAGAGAGGAGACGATGACACTTATGCAGCAGAGAAAGCTATTTGTCCACTCGTGAGCACCTCAGTCGTCTAATGCTGCAAGCGTTCAGGGGACACTCACGGTGTGGTATGACGGTGAAGATGAACTGAATAAAGTCAAAGAAGTAGAAAGAAGACAATGAGCGTGAGGGAGCCTACGGAGGGTCAGGATAGCAATGTGCCAGTTGTTTGAGGTGTGGTGACACCCTGGGGGGAGAGGTAGGAAAATATTGGCTAGAGCAAGTAAAATATAATTGATAGTTATCAATCAGCTTAGATACATACAGTCAGTCTCGCTGTCAGTAACCTGTTTTATCCAGGTGGACCCCGCCCGCCTGGAGCCCAGCGTTATGATGAAGAGACTTACGGCGAATATCACAAGCCGGGCCTGGGTCCAGCAACCAGCTGACCTAATATCACATCGTGAATGGCTACCGTAGCTGGATGTGGAATGGTAACTGGACCTCACCAAAAGGTTAACTGTCCTGCGTGCTTTGTTCGACATCTAGAACTTCCTCATCGCATGCCGACAAGACGCCAGCAGCTCAGCAGCATCAGAAACAGCAGATAGCACAGACCAAAGATCTCCATCCTCTTTCCGCTCGCCGCCCCGCCCGCACCGCACACCACAAATTTATTTCATATTATCTCTAAAACAGAGTCGAAAACGCTAAAACTTGGATAAAGAAGACTCAGGGGGAAAGGAGACATGGACTGCGAACTCAGAGCGATATGGGTAAGATTTTTTTTTTGACTTATCAGTCCCCTTTCCTAATACCCTCGTGCGATAGACTATCGTATATAAGGTACAGTATTTACGATGATGTTTCTATCTGTTGTTCAGATGTAAAGATAGTTGAATAACCAGCGGCACAACGTGCCGAGGAAGAAAGCGAGCCCCCAGGAGCCCCCTCTCTACTCTGTTTGACCGACTCTACGACTGCTATGTTGACTGCGTACAGAGACAGAACGACACAAGAACTTTGAACAAGGGTGGCCAATACCCACCCCTCCTGAAACTTGTGTGTCATACGTGGTGGTAGTGAAGATAAGCCTAATCCCCCTTAGTCCATTCTCCTCCACTACTTTACTCCTCCCCCTCTCCTTCGGTCTGTCACCTGTCTCTGTCATCATTCACAGAGTTTTGTAACACCAGTACTTGCTGCACCAGCTCCCACCTGGAGACACGTGCAGCCTTACGAATGGTGTCAAAATCTGTACTGCTGATGACAGTGGCTACTCACTCCGTCTCTCAATCCTGGTGGGTGTGGCTTTTTTCTCGCTGCAGATATAAACCGTAGTAAATTTTCCTAGCGTTCAGCCCCTATTGTGTACTACACACCAAAATTAACCCACGTTCTCACATCCACTAGAGATTCCATGCAATAAGTAACCTATCTGACACTTTTGGGAATGAATTACCCCATTAAACACCACACCATCACGTGTCCTGTCGCCTATTTTTTTCAATGAATCCATCCTGCTCTATCTCCCTCTCCCCACTCTAAAGAGATATGCCGCCGTATGGGTATATACCATACATATAATTGGATGATTTATCTATTGGTGACCGTACTAGTAATTGAGTGGGGGTCGAGCTGGTTCTGGGAAAGTAGGGAGTGTAGGGCGGAATGGGGGGTGAGGTTAGGGGTGAGGTTTTGGGCTAAGTTGCTCCAGAGAAAATGAGATATTCAGTTACCTAACAACCAAAGAGTGGGTCCACCGTGAATCGTAATTGTCAGCTTATCGACACCAGCCTCTCTCCACATCCACCCCCACCTCCCAGAACCCTCCCGTCCTGACTAAGTTCTTCTGAGACAGCTACTGTCCACATGCACGACTGTTTGTGGTGTGCGAAGGATTCGCGAAACCCCCTCATGCCCACCCTCTGACCTCAAATCTTACGACTCTCACCACCTCCTCAACTGCTACGAACCCAACCACTGCCAGTAATACCTATCTCAAAGATTCAGTTGGAAACAATTGAAATTTAGTTAGTGGGTACTTAAAGCGAAAAGACAGGCCAAGCAATCACTAAAATAATGGCTGGAGGGTGCATTGAATACTTGGTGGCATTGCTTCTTGTGCTCCCAGTTCGTATTACACTTCCACATATTATTTACAAATCTTGCAGTACAATTCCTACCATCAAGTGGGAACGAGAAATTGCCAGTGAACAGACTGTTCTCCTGTCGGTATATATCGCTCCTTTTGTGTACCTCCCCCTTTCACTTATCCTCTTTCCTCTTACCTCTCCTCTAATCCTCTCTCTCTCCTTCTCCCCTCTCTCCCCTCTCTCCTCTCTCCTCTCTCTCCCCTCTCTCCTCTCTCTTCCCCCCTCTCCCGTCTGCAGGAAGACCAGCTGGCCCTGGAGAGCAAGCTACTGCTGCCACCCAACCTCCCATCGTGTCTCGACAGTACTGAAGTGGTGGGGGTCACAACAGACTCCACTACAACAGTACATGCATGCATGTACTGTGCTCTCTGTGAGTGTGAGTGTGTGTGAGTGTGTAGCCAATGCTTGATACAAGCCTTTCACATAATATCAAAGCCATCGCTGTTTCTCTCTATCTTTCTCTAGACGCAAGTTCCACTCGCCCTCCATGAAGTGCTATCTTCGCCGGCGATCGCAGGCTCGTAGAGCGAGAATCCACCTCTCCTCACTCCGCCCCGCCCCGCCCGAACTCCGCCTACACAGGAGCTTTCTGAAGGCGCACCAGCCACTACCACTCAAAGAGTAGTGTCCACGACCCGAAATCGGGAGTGTACATTGCATGTGTCAACTAGTGTCTGGAGGGTAAAGGTCTTTCCTGCAGTTCACTGATGAGTGGAAGAAAAAGAGAAGTCTTCCACCAAGTATTTCTACCAGCTCCGTGGCCTCTGTGAGTATATACAGTGGAGCCCCTCTAATCTGGACACCAATGGGGGAGAATAAAGTTTCCATATTAGTGAGGTGTCCTTGTTTCAGTGAATTATCCTTGGGGAAAGAAAAGAAATTAAGAGAGAGGTGTCTTATTCAGAGGGTCCTTTTTCTGAGATTTTCACACCATGGTACAAATCTACCCCTCTCCTTCACTGCTCTCTTGTGTGCATATAGATATCAAGGAGGGTACAGGAGCTGGCTAGTGTCCTCCCTGAGACCCGCCCACTCCGACCATGCCCACAGCTGACCACACCCCCTCAGCCACCACACCCTTGCTCCACCCCAGAACGGGGTACGTATACTATTCAACGTCTGTACTGCTCGACTAGTATTGTTGTTCCCTTTCAACAGAATGTCTTTGGCAGAAGAGTTCCTCATCTCAAGAGCAAAGTATGTTTGTATACCCACAAGTGTACAGTCGCCCTGTGTTGTCTGAGTCTTTGTTTTACGTGCACTATTTGGTCGTTTGTGTCTTCACCCAACAGGCACACTCCCCCACCACTTACTCCTGTGCTGACCACACCCCCTCACGTGACGGGCGTGGCTAATATGGGCATGGCTCCCACTCCACCCATCGCCTCACCCTCTCTTCCTCCTCCTCCTCTCACTCACAAACGCACACCCACCATTATCCAGGCATTGCCAGCACAACAAACCCAAAATTCGCTCCCTACTCCAATCCAACTGTTGCCGAACCCCTCCCTCACTGTCTCCCTCCCTCGTTTCTTCTCCTCCGTTGGGAGAACCACACCCACCACTCATCATAATCATCACCCACCCCCCACAGTGTCGCTATCACAACCTCCCTCCTTCATCCACCCCCTCCCTCCCTCTTCTCTCCCTGTCATCAACAACAACACGAGGAAACGCCCAATCCCTGCCATCTCCACTCCTCCCGTTGCCATGACGCCAGGGAAAAACCCCACTCCCCAGCATCCCACAGCTGCAATGAGGTCGTCAGTTGGGGTCATTGCTACCGGCAACCGGAGACCAGAAACATATACACGGGTTTGTGCTTATGTCAATAATATTGTTGAAATGTCAATAATGTATAGCCAAGGACAACATTGGTGAGGGGAAACATTTCGAGTGGGGACCATTTTCACAACATCCAGTTTCCTGAGGTGGTGGGTGTGGCACAGGGGAGCGTAGGACAGCTGACTCCGCCCAAACTCCGCCGATTCTCGCACCTTCCCACCCTCTCAGCCTCCGCCCAGCTGCACGTGAGAGTTGTGATGATGCACATTCTTGACACGCACCACCATAACACTGTATCTGCGAATTTGACCAAACATCTCCACAAGTTTCTGAGACAGAACTCTAACAGTACAGTACATTATAGTCACGGAAAATGTAATACTTTCATAGGCTCCGTTGGTGATGCCAAAGTTACACAGACTGACCACTCCCTCATTCTCCTCTCGTGGCCCCGCCTCCCTTGCGGGCTCCACCTCAATGCCGCTCCTGAGACCTCTGTCGCTGGAGAATGGCTACTCATCTTCAGCACCCAAACACAACCAAAAGCACTGCCAAAACTGAGAAGACTCTAGTCCTTGCCAATAGCTAGTGTTGTAGTGGAATTTTAGTATGCAAACAACCTTTGCAAAATTGATGATGTCATGTGAACTTTGGTGATGTCACAGTGTGTTATGATGTAATGGAGAATATCATCGTAGCTGATGTCATGATTTGTCGTTGTCACGCAGTCCACAGACTCTGAGGCACTGGTTCGCAAACTCAACAAAGACAGGGATGTTCATGGCTCGTCTCAGCGCCTGCTGGGGGGCGGGGCTTCTGTCTAGCTCCAGAAGTAGGTCTCGGAGGTGGGGGTTGGTCAGCATGCCCCTGGTAACATCACAGTGGCCTGGGGGTTAAAACAGAAACGACCTGACAGGGGCAAAGGTTCAGCAGCATTGCGTGGTAACAATGAACTATACATTATCACGTAGCAAGGTAATAATTCTTTGATTTTCATAACTTGCTTTACCGTCCTATTACAGCCAAGTCCAGGTTCTTAACCATGCTCACCTAGTGCCTCCAGTGCTTCAATTGGTATTTTGTCCTCTGTCTCCTCTCCTTCTCTCTCTTCCTCTTCTTCTGTGGGCCTGACTCTTGTCTCCATCCGCTGTCCACCATCACCGCATGGCCAACTCACATCCTCTGCCATCACACCAACGCTACAGTGAGGGGTTGTCACTGGCGAGTGAACTTGCTTACTCTGCAACTCTTGCTGTATTGCGGAGAGAATGGCGCCGTTTTCTTCCTTGTTCTCCTCCCTCACCGCCGCTTCTAGTTCTCCTAGAGTCTCTCCTATACCCTCATCCTCTTTCTCACTAGCGGAGCTGCTGCTATCCTCTGAACACTCTCCTTCTTCCAGCACCTCCATTGCCCACGTGGTGAGGTGCAAAGGTCGAAGAGAGTGCGCTCCAATTGAAGTCGTGAACTTCCACGTGCGTTGCGAAGCAAGCGTAGCTCGAGTGTGCAGAAGAAGCATGGGTAAACGAAAGAAGAAGGTGAGTTATAACGATATTCACTGACCAGCTCTCAGTTCCCCGCGCGCCGTTGTCGTCCAGGGAGAGTGCGGCGCGGCCACCAGCTACATCTCCCGAAACCAGGCTCTGAAGAAACTGCAGCTGTCCCTCTCCGACTTCAGGTCTCTCACGTGACCACCTCTCCACCCTCCCTTCCCCCCTTTCTCCCTCCTCCTCCACCACTCTGTCACTCTTCTTCTCTGTCTGTTCATGCAATTTCCGCCTCCTCCAGGCGACTATGTATACTAAAAGGCATCTACCCCCACGAGCCACCTAACGTGAAGAAAGTGAATAAAGGGAGCACGGCTCAGAGAACGTTCTACTACTACAAAGACATTCAGTTTCTGGCCCACGAGCCGCTGCTGGAGAAATTCCGAGAGTTCAAGGAGTTCATGAAGAGGGTGAGGCGAGCGGCGCACAAGAAAAACCCCGCCAAGGCGGAGAAGATGATGGAGAAGAAGCCTGTGTATGCTCTAGACCACATCGTGAGAGAGAGGTGAGGAGGAGTGGGTCCCACTTCCCTGTGTCAAGGTGTCTGCGGTGTCTCGAGTACTTAGTTGGGTTTGCTGGGGTACCTGACTATGTGTGGGAGTGCTGCCGCTTTACCTGACCTCTCGTTTTGTGTGCTGTAGGTATCCAACGTTCACGGATGCCCTGAGGGACATTGACGATGCCCTGACAATGATTTTTCTATTCTCAACTCTCCCTCAGTACAGGAGACTGCAGGTGTGCCCTAGTTCCATATGTTTTCTCCCTTCTGCTGTCTACAGCTCTCTGCTTTTTACACACACGCACACATACATACATAAACACTCTCTCCCTCTCTCCCTCTCCCTCTCTCTCTTTCTCTCGCAGGCCCAGGTGGTCCACAACTGCAAGAGACTGTGCGTGGAGTTCATGCACTTCCTCATCGAGTCAAGATCTCTCAGAAAAGTAAGTATATATAATATATCTCCACCTGGACATTATTATGACGTCATGTTTCCCAGGTGTTTTTGTCGATCAAGGGTATCTATTACCAGGCTGAAATACAGGGGCAGACCATCACGTGGATTACTCCTTACTCCTTCACTCAAAAGGCATTATATATACCAGATCTTAAAGGAACTCAGAGGCTTGTATAGTTTTGATGCCACGATGTGCTTATACTTACCATAGCTGGCATTTGAGTCTGAATGTTCTATATATAGATGCCAAGTGATGTAGATTTCAGAGTGATGCTGACGTTTGTGGAGTTCTATGCTACGCTTGTCGGATTCATCAACTTCAAACTTTACCACAGTCTCAACTTGAAGTACCCTCCTCAGGTGAGCCTGACACACCCTCCACATTACATCATCATTTCATCATTCACGTTTATTATTGGCTACAGATTGAGGGGCTCACCCCTCTCCCCGAGGCAGCCGTAATCCCTTCTCAAGTGGTGGAAGATGAAGACTCCTTACTGTTGTCGGATGACCATACTGAGGTGTGTCATGTGATGTCAGGTGACAGTCACATGACTTTTTTACACTAGGTACTGGCATCTCTGGGTCACAGCTTGGCTAGAGTTGTAGTGGAAGGTAAGATTACACTCTGTTAGTCATGTCCTATGCATAGTGGTAAAATTTTGTTGTAAAAATTGTTATGTCGACATAAACTTGTTTTGTGTTATACTGTTGCGGGCAGGAGACAGTACAGTGTGTGCAGATTTTGTTGCCAATCTTTGTTCTCAACTTTTCAACTGTATGGCACAGTATGTTCAGTTGAGTTGTGGTTTACCTCCAGAGGCGGGTGATGAGGCAGATGATGATGAAGAGGAGATCCCTGTGGAAATGAGTGTGAGTGTCTCACAAACCACTGATACACTTAGTAGCAAAATGTTTGGCAAAATTACCAAATCTGATGGCTGCCAGTTCTGATTTGTGCCTGGTTCACAGGCGGAGGAAGCAGAGGCAAGATCAGCTGCCAGGAGAGAGGAACAGAAGTTGACTGGACTGAAGGCACTGTTCCACGGCTGCACATTCTTCCTGTCCAGAGAGGTCCCTCGAGAAGCCCTCACTCTTCATCATTAGGTCTGAACGACCCAGCACACTCACACTGCTGTGCTCTAGAGGCGATATCAGGGGATACGTTAAAAGTTTGCATATATATTAAGGTGTCGTATAATATTTGCAGATCCTAGTTTTCCTTAAATGTGTGACGGTTTGCTCTGCTCAAAAGACCATGTAATCCACATCCTTAGTTTTGAAACACATTTCTCATGAAGAATTATCACCTCAAAATGTTGGCACTAGCAGTGAAATAGAGATGGTGTGGGTGTGGCTGCAGGTGTTTCGGAGGTGCTGCGTCGTGGGAGACGACCTCTGGTAAGGGAGCGAGTTTCTCGGAACCGGACGAGGGTGTGACACACCAGGTGGTGGATCGACCTCTCCAGGCACACCGGTTCCTCGGGAGGTGAGGCACACGTCTTGGTGTTGGGTCTAGTTTTACCGGTATATACTGGGAAGTCTTTGATGGTCAAATTTCTCGTGTAAGTTGCCACCAAAACATCACATGTTCTTCGCAAGATATTTATGCGCAGTTTCGCACGGTATCATTTTGCAAATCATGTGTGAGGAAATATTGACTCTATTGGTAGATCTTTCATTTGTGTAGGAATGGGAAATAATGTGGACGTGGCCTAACGGTTTCAGTGTCCTAATTATCTTCTTCTGCGTTCATTACTGCAGGCACTACGTCCAGCCTCAGTGGGTGCTTGACAGCGTGAACCGTGGCCGACTCCTACCGACCTCTGAGTACTCCCCCGGCTCTGTCCTGCCGCCTCATCTCTCTCCGTTTGTGTGTGAGGGAGCAGACGACTACGTCCCTCCGGAGAGACAGATGGAGCTCAGAGAAGAGGCAGAGGAGGAAGAGGAGGAAGGAGACATGGAAACTGGTGAGTGAGGCACGCTAAAGATGGACCTTTTAACTTCCAAAGACCCTCTGAATAAAAGACACCTCTCTATAAAGCACACTTAGTTCTGCCTGACAGTAATATGCTTCCTGAATCTTATTCAGATGTTTCAGTGTCATTTGTTTCACTGCTGCAGAAGACCAGAAGGTTACAGAGAGAGTGCTTCCCACTGTTCCGGTAGCTAAAGTGGTAAGTATGTCGTCTGTGAGTGTGCACTATCTTTACCTACTCGCACAGCCAAATGTGGTGGGTACTGTGGTCAGAGAGACGGAGGTTGGGTCAGGAGGAGAGGAAGAAGGAGAGGAGGAAGGAGAGGAGGGAGAGGCAGCTAAAAAGCGGCGAAGGGAGGAAAAGAAGCTGGCCATCATGATGATGCCCAAAAGACGCAGGAGACTCTATGAGAAGGTGAGATTATACCACGAGAATGGAGATGTGTAGATAGATACGTACACAATGCCTTTGCAGATCATGAAAGGACGGAAGAAGAAGGCGGCTGAAGTGAAAGAGCTGCGGAGACGAAGACTGGAAATTGACGCAGCATATTCTGTCACAACATAAGACAATTATTGTCACGATTCAAACCAACTTTTCTTTGCGTTACTATAGTCTTTTTTCCTCAGCATTTTTGCATTTCCAAACGCGAATACGCATGCGCGTTGTTTGCGCGCGCGCATAAGATCGATAGAAGACGGGCGGGGGCGGCCGTCGTGTGATTGGCACGTGACTACTGGCGGGAACTAGCCGCGGGTTTTTCCTCAACTGGTGGTAGCAAACAGAAGCACTCTCGACGTCATGGCTAACTATGCCAGTCAGCTCACGCGCGGAGCCCTCGAGGTCTGCCACCCCACATGCATATGCAGCCCAACACGAGCATGTGCACAATTCTCTCTCTCTATCGCAGGCAATCCTTCGGCAGAGGAATGCTCCGGACAAGCCAGTTCTTCAAGTAATGGTGAGCGCCCCCCTTTGCCTCTATAGTTTTACGTGGCTCGTTCTCTTTCTGACTTACACCAGCAATCCTCACTTGTTGTGTGAGGCAGTTCTCGTGAAATGCAGCATGTCTTGCACAGTCCACCATCATACCCATACATTTGAGGTTTTGTAACCAACTAACCTGCAATATCTGCCACAGAACATGAAGAAGATCCAATCAGAGCAGCAGGCGGCTGAGCGCTATCGCCTGCAGGTGTCGGACGGACTCAACTTCCAGCCCTGCATGCTGGCCACTCAGATGAACCAGAAGATCGCCAGTGGGGAGTTGGACAGGTTCAGCATCGTCAGGGTCATCCGATATCTCTGTAACACCATCCACGACAGGAGGTGCAAACTAACTCACACGGTGTCCTGATTCACTCTATTATTGTTGTGATTCTAAAAATTGTGCATGTGTTTAGTATATACAAGTTGTGCCGTCCCATTTTCGGCTGTTTTTGTGGATACACAGCTCTCACTCCTTTAGAATATCTGCGCTACAATAAACCTTTACTGTATTTTTATTGAAACTTGTTTTTGCAAAACTTAATCTACAATCTAGTATTTTTGTAAGTTGCATGGATATATATTATTAGCTGATTTTCTCAATTACAGGATCATCATCATAATCCAGATGGAGGTGTTGTGTCGTGGGTCAGAGGTCGGGGGTCCTATCGGGAAACCAGAGGCCCTGGAGCTGCTCAAGGTCTCCGGAGATCAGAATGGAGGAGGGGGCGGAGCTTCGAGACCAGCGGCCGCTGGCGGAGGAGGAGAGAGTTACAATTGTGAGTACAACGTCTGAAAAAGAACCTCCAAATAAAGATGCCTTCTATATATTTTAAGGACACCCTGTCTATAATATACTAACACATTAGTATGAGGCACCTCTGAATAGAGGACACTTTGCTGTGTAGCTCTTCTCTTGAGAGATCCCCTTAATCTTTTTATTTGTCTCTCTCTTTCTCCTCTAGCCTACAATGGAGGGAGTGCCTCAAACTCTCGAGCTAGCTACTCATCGCCTCGCTCTGCCGACCCTCCCAAACCATACTCCAGGTACACAACTCTCCTCTCTCTCACCTGTCTCACTTCTCCTCTCTCACCTTTCCTCATCTCCCCTCTGCAGTGCAGCACCCCCGAGTAGGCCAGGGATAGACGTCAGTCCGGGCTCCTCCAGCCAACGTACCGTCTTCCCCATTGCAAGTCTCAGCCCCTACCAATCTAAGTCAGCCAGTCACACCACACACTACCACATTATTCTATCATATTCTACTGTTACAATGATATCTGTTGTACCAGGTGGACAATTCGAGTGCGAGTGGCGTCCAAACCTTCCATCAGGACGTGGAGCAACTCTCGTGGGGAGGGGAGAGTCCTCAATGTCGACCTGGTCGATGAGACAGTGAGCAATAGTACCACCTCGTAGTCACTGCCTGCTGTGCTGCTCTCATGCCTCAGTGGGTATAATTATAGGGAGGGAGACTGCAGAGATTCCATCATGGGTTGATTTCTGCTCTTTCTCTCTCTCTTCCTTGTGTCAACCAGGGAGAAATAAGAGCTGTGGGGTTCAACGAAATGGCAGACAAGATGCAGGGCCTTTTGGAGCTGGGACAAGTTAGCCCTCGCCTCCTCCCTCGTTTCCTTCCACTCTCTTTACTCTCTCGTGTGCAGGTGTACTTTGTGTCCAGGGGAAGGCTGAAACCAGCAAACAAGAAATTCTCGTCTGTCAAGAACGACTACGAGTTGATGTTGGGCGATGAGACTTCAATCGAATTGGTGGGTGTGGTTATTACATCATCATAAATGTGCCTGACTCGGTGCCATTCTGCAGTGTACGGAAGGGGCTCCGGACCTGCCCACTCTCCAATACAACTTTACCACTATTGCTGAGATTGAGAACATTGAACCAAACACACTCATTGGTCAGTCACCAACCCTGCGGTTTAATAAACTCTCGAGAATGAAAAAGTTTGAGCAACTCATTTTTTTGTCTCCTCCCTATTATTCTAGGTTCTCCATTTAGCGTTTTGCCTATTTTTTTATTATGCTCTAGTTCTTTTTTCACTTCTTTTTTCTATATTGTGTCGTCAAAATTAGTCGCTGAATTGTGTTCTTCCATTGTCTTGCGTGTGTAGATGTGATAGGGGTGTGCAAGTCTGCAGCTGAAGTGACAAGTGTCACATCTCGATCCACCGGAAAACAGGTTCAACTTTAATAATTTACCTCTCTTTGCCTCCTCTACTTATTTGGGTCCTTTACACCGTGTGCATATGTTTGCAGATCCCCAAACGGGACGTCCAGTTGATGGATCGGTCGGGCAAAGTGGTGAGCCTGACACTATGGGGATCAGAGGCAGAGGCATTCGACGGTTCCTCCTGTCCTGTGATTGCACTCAAGGGCTGCAAGGTGTCTGACTATGGTGGGCGTTCTTTGTCGACCCAGTTCAGCAGTCTGATGAACATTGACCCCGACATACCGGAGGCCCACCAACTGAGGGGCTGGTTTGACAGTGTCGGGAGGAACAAGGAGGTGACCTCCATCTCTGACCAAGAGATCTGGTGGAGGAGGTAGTTATATGCACTAATTTTAGGGGCTTCCTCTTGCGAACTGACATGTGGCCATTTCTTGGGAAATCTTACCTTTCAGGGAGGCAATCATTCAGGAGACACAATTTCAGACCAAATTATTTCTCTTGCCCCTGCCGCATTAAAGAGAATGTGGTGACTATCACTGAGAATGGAAGTGTTTAACTGGGCCCCGTTGAATTTAGCTGCCTTATGCACTGACACGTTCCCTTTTTCAGTAAGATAGTGGGTGAAAATCAAGCGTTGTCCTTTCCTCCCCTCTCTTTCTGACTTGCTGTGTGCAGGTCAGGCAGCTGGGTTCCTGACCGTAGACCAGGTGAGAGAGTTGGATCTTGGCCACGGAGAAAAGCCAGATTACTTCAACTGCAAGGCCACCATCACCTTCTGCAGGAAAGACAACTGCCTCTACAAGGTATGTTCCGTGCTGCCTGCAGTAGAGAGAGAGGGAGAGTATTGAGTGTTGGTTTACTTGTTGTAGGCATGTTCGAATGCCGACTGCAACAAGAAAGTGACAGAACACGAGGGGCAGTACACCTGTGAGAAGTGCAACCAGACGTCACCAAACTTTAAATACAGGATCGTCCTTTCAGTGAGTATTATACCACCATTCAGACATCTCCGTTCCCCACTTCTATACATCGATTCTCCTAGTCCCATCCTTTATTCCCACTCTTCTTATCCATGCCTTCATTCTCCCATTCCCGTGTCTCCCACTATGCATCCAATCCCCATTCCAATGTCTCCATTCTGCCATTTCCACATCTTCATTTCTCTGTCCCTATTCCTCAATTCCTATGTATGCCTCCCATTCCCATGTCTCCGTACTGCCATTCCAGATCAGCACGGCTGACTACTCTGGAAGTCAGTATCTCACGTGTTTCCAGGAGACGGCCATGGAGGTCCTGGGTACGTCTGCCGAAGATCTGGGGAGCATGAAGGAGTCTGACGAACAGGCTTTCGACAACGTGTTCCAGCAGGCCAACTTCAAGGAGTACACCTTCAGAGTCAGAACTAAGATGGACACGTTCAATGTGAGACGAGCACTAAATTTCGAGGTGTATGTACATATCCCTCTACAAAGGACTGCAATGAAGAACCTTCTCTGTTCCCCTTGTGTGTATCTAGGACGAGCAGAGGTTAAAGTGCTACTGCGTAGCGGCCACTCCGGTCACCTATGCCCAGGAGACAAGACGTCGCATCGAGGAGATACGAGCAATGCTGGCTTGAGGGATTGACACAAACTTATACTAGCTATAACATAGCGTCGTTGCTGTATTGTGCCGTGTAGATGTGAGGAACGTGATGACTTCATTATACATATGACTGTTGTATTGTTCTGTGACTGTTAATCTCAATCTTTCAGTCAAAGTCGTCTTCTTCTGTTGGTTCTTCTGCCCCTAAGCCCAGCATGAATGGTTCCACCTCAAGATTCAGCTCTGGCAGGTGGAAAAGGGTGTGGTCCATAGGCTCACTGTCCTCTCCACCGCCCAGTGTGCTGTTGGCTGGAGGCAGGGAGCTGAGTCTCGGCGGCTCCTCTGGTTCTCCGCTCACGTGTGCCTGGATTAGCCGCTGGATTGTCACCTGCTCAGCCTACGAGGGAACAAACATGGACATAAACCTTTGAATAAGGGGCACGTATGGAACATCGAGTGTCCGTATTTAGGTGTCTCTTATTCGTCTGGAGCAGAATCAAGTGTCCCTTTTCATTACGAGGTGCCCTTATTCGTCGGTCAACTGCATTTTGCGACTTACTTTCAGTACTTTGAGTTGCTGCAAGATGGCCTCTCTGGCCTCACGCAGCTGGTCCCGCTCTCTCTCCAGCGGCCTCCTCAGCCTTTCCAACGTTAGCTGCTGCCCAGACGTCATCCCGAAGACGCATTGTTCCAAACGGAGCGCACCAACATTGGCCCGCGTATTTTTCCACTGACAATAAAATATGACTGGACAAGCGAGTGCAAAAATATCTATAGCTAAAATTTGAGCGTCGGAAGTGCCGCCTTGTGAACTGGTTTTGCTCGGGCAGTCCGTGAATTTTGGAGGCCCCGAGGTGCAAATCTGAGCCCTTTGGTTGGTGGTGCCTTTGGTCTCTGTTTCTGAGCACGAGTCAAGAAGAGGGAGAAGGGAAATGTCAGAGTGGGTTGTGTTTTATGTTTTTTTTTTTTTTAATGTATTTGCTGGTATAATCCCTATTATGATTGTCCCATGTTCTTCTGAATTTTATAGTCTTTCGATTTGTCTGTTTTAATTTATAACATCTTTTGTGTTTTATCTGTTGTCCATTATTTTTTTTTGTTGTG